CTATGGATCGATTGTAAGATCTTTTCAATTGGAAAGACAGGAAAAGATGCGGAAATATCAACCAATTTTTAGTGAAAGGCTTTAAAAATTCTTCCGATGTTTCATTTCCAAGTTCCATTTTGTTTATATGTATAGGAAAGAGTTTCATCAAATAGAAATTTTTTCTCTCAATCATACTACTTTTATGATTGAAGTTATATATAAGGACCGATAATGTAAGTACTACTACACCTTTGATCAAAAAATATAGATTGCTGTTACGTAGATCGCGTAAAAGTAACGTACTTAGAATTCTAAGGGCAAAGAGCTTTATAAGGCGCTCCCGATGCGAAAGGATTTTCATTAAAAATCTAACCAAATTGGATTCGGTCCATGGATTGCATAGAAATTGATAGCTTTGTATCTCCTTCAATTTCACTATCCAGGATCTTCTTTTTTTCATTTCTTTTTACCCCCTTTCATCCCAATTAATAGAATAGATCACATAATATTGATTTAATATAATTGGAAAGCTCGTGTCAACAAACCAACCAATACCATTATACCACATAGATAGAAAATATCCAAAATAAATATAAAATTTTTCACTGAAATATGAAAATAAAAAAGAATCGGATCCAGTCCGGTTTTTCTCTTATTTTATGGGCGAACGACGGGAATTGAACCCGCGCGTGGTGGATTCACAATCCACTGCCTTGGTCCACTTGGCTACGTCCGCCCCGGAAGAACAAATAAATTGTCTCTATCTACGGTCATTTCTTTTCTTTCAAGAAGAAGAGAATTTTCTTTCAAGAAGAAGAGAATTTATAGCTCCCAACCAATTATCGAACAAGTTGTTCAGCCGTGTACCTCTGTAAAATGTCTATGGATAATACTTGACAATATGAGAGAATGTTATGAGGTCCCGAACGACCCAATTTCAGATCCGAGTCTATACTCATATTATAGAAGAAATATGTTCATGATCTATATCCAGCATCCATGGCTGAATGGTTAAAGCACCCAACTCATAATTGGCGAACTCGCGGGTTCAATTCCTGCTGGATGCAGGGGAACTGCACATATCCATTCTTTATAGAATGGGAAGAAGAATGAGAAATAACAACAAACATTTGAAGAATACCAAACCTTTCATTTTATTGAAAGGCTTGGTACTCTTCAGTTAAGTAATACAAAAGAAAAATCCATCGGAGTATTATCCGCCTATTGAAATAGATTCAACAGCAGCTAGATCCAGAGGAAAGTTGTGAGCATTACGTTCGTGCATAACTTCCATACCTAGGTTAGCACGATTAATGATATCAGCCCAAGTGTTAATTACACGACCTTGACTGTCAACTACAGATTGGTTGAAATTAAATCCATTTAGGTTGAAAGCCATAGTGCTTATACCTAGAGCGGTAAACCAGATACCTGCTACAGGCCAAGCAGCTAAGAAGAAATGTAAAGAACGGGAGTTGTTGAAACTAGCATATTGGAAGATCAATCGGCCGAAATAACCGTGAGCAGCCACAATATTGTAGGTTTCTTCCTCCTGACCAAATTTGTAACCTGCATTTGCGGACTGATTCTCAGTAGTTTCCCTGATCAAACTGGAAGTTACCAAAGAACCATGCATAGCACTGAATAGAGAGCCGCCGAATACGCCAGCTACACCCAACATGTGGAATGGATGCATAAGGATATTGTGCTCAGCCTGGAATACAATCATGAAATTGAAAGTACCAGAGATTCCTAGAGGCATACCGTCAGAGAAGCTTCCTTGACCGATAGGGTAGATCAAGAAAACGGCAGTAGCAGCTGCAACAGGAGCTGAGTATGCAACAGCAATCCAAGGACGCATACCTAGACGGAAGCTAAGCTCCCACTCACGACCCATATAGCAAGCTACACCAAGTAGGAAGTGTAGAACGATTAGTTCGTAGGGACCCCCGTTGTATAGCCATTCATCGACGGAAGCTGCTTCCCAGATGGGATAGAAGTGCAAACCGATAGCTGCAGAGGTAGGAATAATGGCACCGGAGATAATATTGTTTCCATAAAGAAGAGAACCGGAAACGGGCTCACGAATACCATCAATATCTACCGGAGGAGCTGCGATGAAAGCAATAATGAATACAGAGGTTGCGGTCAATAGGGTAGGGATCATCAAGACGCCGAACCATCCAATGTAAAGACGGTTTTCGGTGCTAGTGATCCAGTCGCAGAAGCGACCCCATAAATTTGCGCTTTCGCGTCTTTCTATAATTGCGGTCATGGTCAGAACTTCGTTTATAAAATCATCAGAGGCTCCCAAGCATAAGGCTTGTTATTTTACAGTATAATATGATCCATGTATCAATGTCAACCAATATCCGGTATGGAATATCAATACCTATTCTGTTGAAATAGGTACTGATATATACTATATTGATAGAATATAGATGTATTTGAGATAGACTCTATATTTTTTGCATATATTCCAAACTCTATAGATCTATCTAAACTCTATAGATTTAGATACTCCATCTAATTTTTTATTTCTGGTTCCAGGAATGGGAGATCCGTTGTAATGAGAACGGATAGGATCAAATCAGTGACGAGAAAACTTTTTTTGCTACAACGAACGAAGTGCAATACGATTCTGGAACCAAATTTTGAATCAATTGATACGAGTGGGATATGAATTCTTCATAACCTTTCCGGAGAACCTGCGATAGTTCGTTCCTTGTGAATAGGAACAAATATGAAAAGGAACTTTATTTTATCCAGAACCAGAATAAGTGGACAGAGGTACCTATCGTAATTGGATTCAAATTCTCCGGGTTGCCCGGGACTCGAACCCGGAGCTCGTCGGATGGAGTGGATGATCTGCTCCTTCAGTATCAGTAAGAGCGAGAAATCTCTCCCCAAACCGTGCTTGCAATTCTCATTGCACACGGCTTTCCCCATGTAATGTTTTTATTCCCTAATCATTTTAGTTCTCGGATGGAAAAAGAAAAATGATTCTGAATCGAGGCAATGACTCAAAGAGCATTTCATTGGTCAAATAAGTTTTTTATTTTAAGGTCCTGTATCTTTTGCCAGGAATTGGCTAGGGGATTTATCTGGGGAATATCTGAATGCCAAATTCGTTCTCTCTGTGAACGGGCCACCGCTTTCGATGAAAAAGCCGGAGAATCAAATTCTCGTTCTTTCGAAAACGATTTTTTGAAGAGCTCTGGACCTAATTCCTTCCGAACTACACGTATCGTACTTTTATGTTTACAAGCTAAAGTTTTAGCACATGATAGTGAAAGTATATACTTTATACGATATAAACCATCTCGACCAAAGGATCCACTGTAGTAATGAAAAAAATTTCTCCAAATTCGATCGAATCGATCGAGGATATCATCATCTGTTAGACTGGTCCAAGCCAATTTACTAATTGGCCGCCCTGATATGTCACAGAATTTTTTCTCTAGCCAATAATCCAATTATTGATACAATTGGAACTATTGGATAAAATTCATCGGTAATAAGATCGGTAATGAATAACTCACCTAGCATTTTGGTCCTGACCAGAAGAGGTTTCATCCGAACCCTCAGAGAATAACCTGGAAAAGAAGAACAATTCTTGGATAATTGATGAGAACATACCCTATATGGTTCGGACCAAAGATGGAAATAACATTGCCGAAAAATTGGAAGATAATATCTACATTTTTTCACTAGGAGATGAGTACCCTTTATAGCTATAATAGATCTTTCTCCATATCTCACATAGTGAATTTTAGGATCCTTCAACGACCAGATACTTTTCAATGAATTTCGATGGGAAATTCTGATAATATGTTTTATCTTTCGATCAAAAAGAGTTCGCTCAGGGAAAGATCCATGAGACGACGACCGTGACTGAAAGGATCGTTTCAGAAGGGGAACTAAAATGGATTCGCATTCATAGACATAATGATTCCACAGGAACAGGAAGAATCTCGTATTTACTCTCGGAGCGACAATAATCGATCTTTGTAAATTCTCTGGACTATTTCGATATTCATAGAGAACAGATCGTAATGGGTGCAAGGAGGGAGCATCTTGGATCCAGCGACGAAAGGTTCGAACCAAAAATTCCGGATGAATAGAATAGGGTATTCGTGTATCTAATATATAATTAGAATGCGGGAATTTCTCCTCTAAGAAGGGAAATATTGAATGGATCGATCGGAAACTCTTCCATTCTTTTATCCCTTGCACAGAATATTTTGACCGTGTAGAGAACGGAACTTCCAGGACCAATGTCAGTCCTTCTAGTACCGATTCAAAATAGGAACTCTTGTTGCGATCAACTAATGGATTTGGATCGCAATTCACGAATAAACCAATTGAATGATTCTGTTCACGTATTCGACCAATCAAACGTTTTACAGTTAGGAAACTTAATTGATCATTGAAACTGAAATGTTCCATCGGTTCGGAGGAACTTGATCCATCCAAATAATGATCATGAGAAATTGCGTAAAGATCTTCCTGAAAAAAGAGTGGATATAAAAAACATTGTTGCCAAGAGCTATCTTCCTTTCCGTATCTATGGAACTCATCCATTTTCAAACCTCAGCTATGGCCCTCGTTCATGAGAATAACCTCTTAATTTCTGAGATAATACATGGTGCGATCCAGTCGGGACAAGATAGGAAAAAAGATATATAGATTCGGATTTCAAGATTCTATATTCTATTCAGCAGATTTACTACCCAAGGATCTCATTCGTCATGAGGAAGAACGAAAATCTTTTATCCTGGCGACCGATCGCTCTCCTGACTCATAGAATAAATAAACCTGGTCAGTACACTATTTCTCTTACACATCTGTACTCGAGTACTTAGGACTCATTGTGAGTGTATAAATCCCTGATCTACTCAGGAAAAACCTCCCGATATCGGGTACTAAAATGCTCTTAACTTCTGATCAGTAAAGGGAATTCCTCGCTCGTTTAATTGGAACGAGGAACAGAAGCTCGTTCCTCTGGGTTTACCTATGATTAAAGTCATATAGCTTTATCCATTGACTCATTCGACTTAATCGTGAATTGATTCGATCCTATTCACAATTATCACATTTGATCCGAAAGGATGAGCATATTATACATCCATCTAAATATATAATAGACATTTCCCACCCATTTGATTCCTTGAATCAGATCCGGTCCTGATCGAATAGAATCAGGTATCCTAAAAATCATATCAGGTATCATAAAGATCATATGTTGGAACGACATGCTGTTTTTTCCGTTCATTATACGAGGATCAGTCGTAGTCTTCCGAATTTTACCGATGGTATCGACGAGTTTTCTACTTCATTCAAATGTGTAAAAGACCTTAGTCGCACTTAAAAGCCGAGTACTCTACCATTGAGTTAGCAACCCATATTGCGAATAGATATTGAGGATATATACGATCGAAGTGGAATGCGAGGTTACTCAATATGAACCGGTAAATAGAATCTTACCAATCGTTGTTGTTAAATGACGAACGGGATCAAAAACCTATGTGAAAGACCAAATGATTCACTCGTAAGTTCATATATGGATATGTATAGTTTCGTTCGATCTGCCATTCCAGAATAAAGTAATCTAGGTTATGATTAAATGATTCGTCGACAGTATTTTCATGATTGGATAGAATCACTTATAAATGATGAACCTAAGCTAAGATATCTATTTCTATTGTGAATGGACGAATTATATCGACACAATACACTATTGTCAATCCAGAATAAGAGATAAAGAAATTGTTGGATTGGTACTGTATTGGGACGAGATGTTAGACGCATCGAGAGAAAATCCTAGGCTTATTTGTAACAGCCTTGATGGAACGATTCGAACAAATATCCGTCATCTTTGTATGGGATCACATGGAAACGAGAGTTACTTGGAGAGTATATAATAAAATAAGAATAATGTGGAGCCAAGGGCATTTGATCCGAATATGATATGTTGGATGTCATAATCCAACATCCACGAAAGCGGTTATGTAAAGTCGCACGTTGCTTTCTACCACATCGTTTCAGACGATGTTTTGAAGATCCCTCCCTGCTGATCTCGAATCATGATCGAGACGTGATTATGAATAGTCATTAACTCAATTGATATGATAAGAATAGATATTGAATTGGATCCACTCTTTTTGTATAGAATACACTAAATGTTATCAATTTAGTTATATTGATTAGGTACTTAATGCTTCTTTAGCTGCGTGCATTACCTCGACAGTAACGTCAAAAATGCCCTTTCGTCGTGCAAATTTTTCTGTATTTCTCTTTACTTCGTCCCTGACAAAACGGGGGATTTTATTCAATTCTAGTTGACTTTCAGGATTCCAAATTAGACTCATATCCGTGGATAATGATTTAGTCATGATTTCCTTCGTATCATGACCACAAAAAATCTCTAGAAGATGATCCTCCATACCCAGAGCGAATGAGTTATAAACTGGATCAGCTATTTGATTAGTACCTTCGTAACCCAGGAAGGGTCGATATCCCAAGGAAAAATTTTGGATATGAGCTGGTGCGGAAATAACTCCACAGGGAATCTCAAGACGTTTACCAATATGACGTTCCATTTGAGTACCAAATATTGCAGAGGGTTCCACGCGAGCGATAATATCTCCTACTTCAGCATGATCATCTGTGATGATTATCTCATCACAAAAATCTTGAATTTGCTCTTTGAACCATTCTGCATCATGTTTACAATAAGTACCTGTACAACTCACACGAATTCCCATCTCTCTAGCAAGTATCTTAGTGATTGAAGCAGCATGAGTTGCATCACCAAAAACCACTGTTTCCTTCCCCGTAAAATTTTGACAATCGATAGATCTTGAGAACCAAGCAGCTTGGGAAACGAATCGAGTTTGTCCATCGATATAGGATTCGTAATCAACCCTTTTGCTTGATAAAATAGGAGCTGCCAAGGTATCAACATATTTCTTTATCTGTCGGATGCACTCGGCCATATCTACAGCCCCCATAGGAGTTGTAGATACATAAGGCATTCCAAATTCTTTATTCAAATACATCGCTGTCATTAAGCCCACTTCACGATAAGGAATTAAATTGAACCAAGCTTTTGGTAAATTTTTCAGATCCTCTACAGATCCTCCTTCAGGAATTATTTGATTAATTCTGATGTCCAGATCTTTCAATAAACGTCTCAACTCGCGACAATCGTGTCGATTATGAAAGCCCAGAGTCAGAATCCCAATTATATTTACAGAAGGTGTATCTGTTACAAATTGATCCAATGCTTCTTGTCTATGGGATTTCTCCAAATAATATCGAACCACTTGTTCCAAAGTTCTATCTGCTGCCTGAATTTCATTCACTTGATAATGATCCACATCCGCAAAAATGACGTTGCAATCGGAGATTATGGATGCTCTATCCACAAAGTTTTTTTAAATCCTCTTGCAAGATACTAGAGGTACATGTAGGTGTCAATATGATCAGATCGGGACCTTCCTCCTTATCTTTTCGAAGAA